GGGCTGGCGGTGCGGGGCTATGCGGCGGCCCGCAGCGCCCAGCCCACCTGCCAGGGGGTTGGCCGGGCGGTGTGCGGGGCAGCAGCGGGGAAGCTCTGCGAGATCTGCTTCCTCCTCAACCTCTTCATGATCTCCGTGGCCCTCCTCAGGGTGGTGGGCGACCAGCTGGAGAAACGTGAGTTGTTTCCCCCCACCGTGTTCGGGGCTTGCTCTGGGCCAGCGGCTCCTGGGAGTGAGGGGAAGGTGGTCCCATGTGGGCTGGGAGCAGCCCCAGGGTTTTCTTGGGACCGCTGATGATGGGGGGCTCCCTGGCCCTGCCATGGTATGGGGCTCCCAGCCCCCTTGAGCCACCTTTCGGGGTGCAGCTGATCCCCTGCTGCCCCCCCACAGTGTGTGACTCCCTGTACTCCAATGGGACGCTGAGCGGGGCCCCCCCTCAGCCCCCCTGGTACGTGGACCAGCGCTTCACGCTCTCAGTTCTTTGCATCCTTGTCATCTTCCCACTCTCCGTCCCCAGGGAGATCGGCTTCCAGAAGTACTCCAGGTACCACCTGGGCTACCACTGTGGTGGCCCACCCCTGGGCACCCTGTACCCCAGGCCACCTTCTCCTGGGTCCCTGCAGGGCCATGGGACCCACCTCCCTCCCGGCTGCCGGGGGTCTGCGGGCTGACACTCTCCCATGCCCCGGCAGCATCCTGGGCACGCTGGCTGCCTGCTACCTCACCCTGGTCATCGTCCTGAAATACCACCTGCAGGCAGAGAGCCTGGGCTCGCCCGAGCTCCCCCAGCCCTCCAGGTAGGGGGGGTCAGCCCTGCATCCCTCCCACCCCATCCTCCGTGGCATCAGCAGTGGCATGGGGCAGTGCAGGGGGTGAGCTGTGGACAGCGCTGGCAGGGTGGTGGGTGGGTGGCAGCCCCTAGCCCCATCTTTTGCCCCAGCAATCCCCCCTTCTCCCAAAATCACTGGGCAGGAGGTTCCCACGGTGGCTTCACAGCTTATGCCACCACGGTCCCCTCTGCCTCTGGGGGCCTCACGCCCTTTGCTCTGTGCTTCCTCCCCGCCATGCCACAGGGCCTCCTCCTGGGCCTCTGTCTTCAGCGTCATCCCCACCATCTGCTTTGGCTTCCAGGTAGGTCGCCCTGGCTCCACTGTCCCCGGCTGCCTGGGCGGTGCTGGCAGCCTTCCGCGGCATCCCGGACCATGGGGACACCATCCCTTACAGGAGGGGCTGCAGGGAAGGGGACCGGTGGCTGTCACCAGAGGTGGCTGTGGGGCAAGAGACAAGCCCCTGGGCACAGGGGAGAGTGGAACAGGGCACCCACAGGTGGGAGGGAAGGCGCTGGGATGGGGGTTGTCCCCGTACAGGGCCCCAGCACCCCCCCGTGCCTTGCAGTGCCACGAGGCCTGTGTGGCCATCTACAGCAGCATGCGCAACCAGAGCTTCTCCCACTGGATCGCTGTCTCCGTGCTCTCCATGCTTGTCTGCCTGCTCATCTACTCCCTCACCGGTAACCCCAGCACTGGAGCCCTTCCCCCCCTCCTTGCCACGGGGGTCCCCAGGGCTCATCCATCCTTCTCAGGGCTCCTCTGTCCTCACTGGCATGGCCACCCACCCCCCCCTCCCTCTCTCTATGGCTACTTGGCCTTGGGCTAGGCCTTTGCATCCGATGTCCTGATGTCCTACCCAGGGAACGACCCGGTGGTCATCGTTGCCCGCCTGCTCTTTGGTGTCTCCATCGTCACCATCTACCCCATCGTGGTGCTGCTGGGCAGGTGAGGGGGCGGTGGCAAGCCGGGTGTTCCCCCGTGGCTGGTGCGGCTCCGCTGGGTGCTGTCAGCCCCCCACCAAACCTCCTGGCTCAGGTCGGTGGTGCGGGATGTGTGGGTGTGCGGGGTGGGGGGGTGACCCCGAAGCGCAGTGCTGTGGCAGTGCCTGAGGCACACGAGCGGCGGAGCCGGGTGGCGCTGACGGTCGCCTGGATGGCCGCCACGCTCGCCATCGCCCTGTTCGTCCCGGACATCGGCAAGGTCATCGAGCTCATTGGGGGCATCAGTGCCTTCTTCATCTTCATTTTTCCAGGCAAGAATGAGCAGTGGGAGGGAAAGGAGGGGCCACCGGTGCCAAGAGCGTTGCTG